TTTTTCCTTGTACCGAAGTACATCGTTCCCTTAAACAAGTTCTAACTCCAGATTTCACAAACATCTCCACCCCTTTCAAATTATAACAACTTTCTTGCTTAACAAAATTCAATTGGATGTTTAAAGGTAATATACCTTTAAGAACCTTATACATAACCTGTAAAATATTACGTTTTTCTTGAAATCACCTCACTGTAATAATTATCCAGCAAACACTGAAACCAGTCACATATCAGTTGTGACGGAAACACGACCCAGGTTTCTGTAAGTCACGTTTCTCCCTCAGCAGCGAAGCCCTCTGTGCTGTTGGGAAACCTGAAGGGGAAAACAAGCAGCAGTAATGGGGTAGTTTTCTTTGGAATGCCCCTTTTAAAGCAGCCATCTAATAACGAGTGCAACTATCTCACGGTCTCCAAGTCAGCATCTCGGGAAACACATCAAAGAGGAACCGTCTGAGTCAACCTGACACGGCACGAAGCTCGGTATTAGAACGCGTGCTTGTTAAACTGAGAGTTGAGCAGCTGAAAATAATATTCCTGTGCCGATAATGCTGCGGTGGTTAGAACCACTGAAAGTGAAAGCGCTGCACCTTCTGAGCCTTTAAATGACTTGACAATCGGTCCATGTGGTGTACATAAAAGAGTCCGAGACCAGAAGAAACTTTGTAGTGTTTATTTTAGTTTAGTTTAGTTTTGTTTTACAGTAAGGGCAAGAGCAACTTTTACTCAGGTGCCAAAAAACTCACTTTTTCCAAAAGCAGAGATGAAAAGTCACAGTAATATTAAAAGTCAATGTTTGCTCACGTAAGCCAATCAGGTCACGACTATGATGACTAATTAGTCAATTTTTTTAATTCACAGCAATTCATTTCTAACACYGTTTCGCTTCTTGTGATTTGTTTTTAAAAGAAGTGAATCACACTCGTGCTATTAATTCAAATCTGCACACATAAAAGAAAACAGAAGCAGAAACAGCAGATTTAGGCTCTATTTTGAGGTTTATATAGACCATCACACTTATATTTCACCTCTTAAAGTGGAGTGTGCTTTTCTGTTTCATCTTTACTTGGTATTTCTTTAGAGAAGTTCTTGAAAAGAAGTAGCAAGAAAAGAGGAAAAAATAAAATTAAATCTAGAGAATTAAACTTATTCAATGAGTTTTATGATTGAGACAAATGGCTTAAAACACTTTAGATCAGCAATAAAACAAAAATAAATTGCAAAAAGTCACTCAAATTTACTGATAAACTAAAACACATTTGCACAAGCCAAAAGACAACAATTTATRAAACTCCCAGAAAAAAAAAATCACTGAATGAACATTGGACGTCAACTTGATCCAAGATGGCCGACACAGCTAAGTGGTCTGGGCAAAACCCAGCTAATTGTACAGAAAATGAGCTACATTTTGTGTGGTAGTAGCAGATAGTCACACCTGTTTTATCCTCAGAGCGCACCATTTCACAATATCCTGAGTTTGCACATAGAGAAGTTTATAWAGTTTGACCAAATTGGCTTTATCTTAACTTTCATTTCCACTTTGTTTAAAACGCTGGCGTGACAAGAACACAATCATTCCTTCAAGGATTGACCAGCTTTTCTTGAATCTCTTTATCAGAGAACAAATCTCTTTTTTATTTAGTGAAACTCTGAAGAGAACTCAGCGCCCTGATTTGCAGTTTTCTCTCTTTGTAGCATCTTTTGGGCGGCAGCCAAAAGACCGTTCTCCAGGTCCCTGCAGATTCTCACATTTTTGTTAGAAATCTCCTTAAAGTTGACATTTTTTAAAGCTTCCTTTTATTGTAGTATATCAAC